ATTATGTTTAACAAGGATTAAGAATGTTTAAACAAACGTTTTCATGGCAGGATCAATTTGAATGGATTCTGTCAAAATTCAATATGAATAGTTTAAAAAACTGATGCAAGATAAATGTCATCGTGTTACAATGCCACAATACGTACATATATTCATAATGTTTCATGATAAAATGTGTCTTTATACATAGTTTGTTTCCCCCAGTGTATTACACGATGACACGCTTATCAGCCGTAGATTAGGGCAACGGTTATATTTTAAAATGCAATTATTATATATTCAGTTCTTCAACTAATATGATTCTAACAAAATGTTAAAATGAGAATAACATTAACAACTTTAACAATTGTTTAAATATTATTACTTTCTTACATTTTATGGATGAATGACTATAATGACGAACAAGTATATATGTGAAAGGTGTCCTTTCATCGTTTATTAATATACTCACAATTTAGAGCAAGTCTTGAGCTACGATTTATTTTAAAAGTTAACAATTTAATCGTGTGTGCACAAACAACTTTCCCTTAGATTTTCAAACAAATCTAATTCTCAGAACTCAAAAGTATAAATATGAACATATTTGGAAAATCTAAACAATGGTCCCAGGATTGTATCAATTAAATATTAAAAAAACATATATATAAATATGTATATACCATATTTCTTGTAAGGTTGAAGGATATTCTGTTAAATTATTACCCATTGTATTTAAAATTACAATAATATTCGAATAAGGTAGTAGCAGTTTTAAGACCTAAGCTTATCTGAAAATCAATCGTTTTAAAGTCCCGGCGTTCTAGTGCCGCCCTATACACATATACCTCTGCATTTCATCAATACTCGACAGATGCCCTTTGAACTTTATGTTAAATATTTTCATGGTTACACGTTATTGTTATATTCTATTCAATAATTGCATACATTTGTTTTCAACCTTTTTTTCTAACTTTAATCTAGGAGTTGTTGGAGAATGGAAGAATATGTTCACCATGAAACAAAACGACTTATTTGATGCCGTATATAAAGAAAAGATGACGGACATGGGAGCCGACCTTGGTTTTGTCTACGAGTGAATTTAGTCGCGCATTAGGCTACTGGTGTACAAACTTCAGTTACATAGTCAAGCACTGCATATCAATTTTTTATAATTATGGTTGAGCGTCATTTGATGCTGTCTCAACGATCTTAAATGAGTTTATAGTTATTTATGTGATCAGCCTATTTTTATTTTTTATTTTTTTAAACTTTGTTAAAGTAAAGCAATATTTTAAAATTCTCATTGTCATCTGTGTTGTTTTGTAGCAATTAAAATCAATTGGAACATTTTTAATTAGTTCTCCGTTCTTACCTAGAGTATCTCAATCATGAAAAAATCGCTGCTTTAGAAAATCACATCGATAATAATTAAGAAATGGTTTAATGCACTCCACCAATAAGTGACTGATTGGCATTTGCAAACTTTGTGTTTTGAACAAGTTAATCATTCATATAAAATTAAGTTTCTAAAATACATGTTTCCAAATTTACTGTAAATTAACACTTGAATGTACCAGAAATCGAAAGTTTTCTCACCGAATGAGAACATGAAACGTTAATTTGATAAGCTTATATTTTATAACGTATCAGTGTATTTTCCTAGATTATCAGTAGTTGTTTCAAATTACGATAACAAGAGTAAGCAAATCATGAAGACATTAACGTGATGCTGCTAGTTAATCGGATGTAGAAGAGATGCTACATAGTCGGGTGCATGTTTTTTTTTTGTTACGAAACAATTTATTTTCTAAAGGTACCGAAATGAAGTTCCAACTATGATTGCTTGTTTCTTGTTTCTTAAAGAAAAGCGACACATGCCATACCTAACCTAATGATCAGATTACTCCCTAACTTTTTGTACTTATATACTAATACAATATTACGAGAATGATTTCACAGATGGCAATTGTTCCACTGGGTGAAATATTCTCGTTTACAAAATTGTCTTTGATTATTTTTTTCTTTGAAATGTTGCACTATATAATAATAAACAATGGTTACGGTTTTTATTTCTCTATCTAAATAAAAAAAATAAGGTCGTGACCTTGACCCACTTCACTGCCGACATTGCATTGATAAATAGGACATTTAACTAGCCAATGCAAATATCGTGTTTGCGAGTAAAGTAAATATGGTACTTAAAATACATCGATCTGTCATGTAAACTCTCGGTTAAAGATTTGTGTAAATTAAAACAAATTCGTATGATTTTGTGTCTATAACAATGTGTGTTGAGTGAATCAACAATTATGAGCTTAAGATAATACGCGTGGAATGGTAACCAGTGACATAGAGGATTTTAAAAGCTCAGATTTGTTAAACCTGATTTAGCGTCATTTCTTGTAGACCCTTGATCAGTGCTATTCATTTGGTAGGTTTACACCTATTGCAGTTGACAGGCCCTGCAATTAATACATATATATGTACACTGTCATTTTCTAACATGTAAAAAGTCCTGGTCTTAACGTAGGTGCTTTCAATTAAATACCAATCATTTGTCGGGTCGTTATACCCACGCGATAAAGTGAGGTTGGAATTCCCATGAAACTTTATATAATGATATAAACCCGGGCTGTACAAATGTTTAATTAAATCACTAGATAATAGCAGTAACAGTTGCTTCAATATATATCCGGATTTTATATATGTAAAATAGATCATTATATACTGTCAGTAATTAATATAACATAGGTTCTGTTTTATTTACCAGGTTTTCATAAATGTTAAATAGATCACTAGATAATGACAGTGACAGCCGTGCTATAATATATGCTATAATATATACGTAGATTTTATATATGTTTTAATAGAGCACTAGATAATGACAGTAACAACCGTGCTATAATATATACCGATGTTTTATATTCTGTTTTAATAGAGCACTAGATAATGACAGTCACGCCGTGCTATAATATATACCTAGATATTTAATATTTGTTTTGATAGATAACAAGATAATGACAGTCACGCCGTGCTTTACTATATACCTGGATTTTATATATGTTTTGATAGATAACTAGATAATGACGGTAACAGCCGTGCTATAATATATACCGATGTTTTATATATGTTTTAATAAGGCACTTGATAATGAGAGTCACGCCGTGCTTTAATATATACCTATGTTTAATATATGTTTTGATAGAGCACTATATAATGACAGTTACGCCGTGGTTTACTATATACCTGGATTTTATATATGTTTTGATAGATAACTAGATAATGACGGTAACAGCCGTGCTATAATATATACCGATGTTTTATATTCTGTTTTAATAGAGCACTAGATAATGACAGTCACAACCGTGCTATAATATATACCGATGTTTTATATATGTTTTAATAAGGCACTAGATAATGAGAGTCACGCCGTGCTTTAATATATACCTATGTTTAATATATGTTTTGATAGAGCACTATATAATGACAGTTACGCCGTGGTTTACTATATACCTGGATTTTATATATGTTTTGATTGATACCTAGATAATGACAGTCACGCCGTGCTATGATATATACCTATGTTTTATACATGTTTTGATAGAGCACTAGATAATGACAGTAACACCGTGCTATGATATATACATAGGTTTTATGTATGTTTTGATAGACCACTAGATAATGACAGTCACGCCGTGCTATGATATATACCTAGGTTTTATATATGTTTTAATAAGGCACCAGATAATGACAGTCACGCCGTGCTGTAATATATACGTATGTGTTATGCATGTTTTGACAGAGCACTAGATAATGACAGTCACGCCGTGCTATAATATATTCCTTGGTTTTATATATGTTTTGATAGACCACTAGATAATGACAGTCACGCCGTGCTATGATATATACCTATGTTTTATATATGTTTTGACAGAGCACTAGAGAATGACAGTCACGCCGTGCTATGATATGTTCCTAGATTTTATGAATGTTTTAATAGACCACTAGTTAATGACAGTCACGCCTTGCTATAATATATACCTAGGTGTTATGCATGTTTTGATAGAGCACTAGATAATGACAGTCACGCCGTGCTATAATATATACCTATGTTTTATATATGTTTTGATAGAGCACTAGATAATGACAGTCACGTGGTGCTATAATTTATACCTAGATTTTATGTATCTTTTGATAGAGCACTAGATAAAGACAGTCACGCCGTGCTATAATATATACCTAGGTTTTATAGATGTTTTGATAGAGCACTAGATAATGATAGTCACGCCGTGCTATAATATATACCTAGGTTTTATAGATGTTTAGATAGAGCACTAGATAATGACAGTCACGCTGTGCTATAATATATACCAAGGTTTTATATATGTTTTGATAGAGCACTAGATAATGACAGTCGCGCCGTGCTATAATATATACCTAGGTTTTATAGATGTTTAGATAGAGCACTAGATAATGACAGTCGCGCCGTGCTTTAATGTATACCTACATTTTATGAATGTTTAGATAGATAACTAGATAATGATAGTCACGCCGTGCTTTAATGTATACCTAGGTTTTATAGATGTTTTGATAGATAACTAGGTAAGGACAGTCACGCCCTACTGTAATATATACACATGTTTTATGTATGTTTTGATAGAGCACTAGATAATGACAGTCACGCCGTGCTATACTATATACCTGGATTTTATATAAGTTTTTATAGATACGTAGACATTGACAGTAACAGCCGTGTTATAATATATACCTAAGTCTCCCTTATCAGTGTTCCCTACGAGACAGATTGATCTGACACAAGCATACGGGTGGGAAGTAATTGATTACTAATGACATAACATTTATTACCATTCAAATTAAGGTTTGGGTGTCACTCAGGTATTTTCATGTTGTTTTCGTGCATACACTACCACGACAAAAATATTTGATGTATCGTTCTCTTATCTCTCCTACCTGCTTACTTCCTGGTACTTAGCTGGGTAGATTAGAAAAACTGTTTTCAGTTCAACATGGCGTCTGGCCGGAACATACATGGAACCCTAACGTTAATACCTATGGCATTTGTTGCTATTCTGCCTCTTTTTGTTCATTCATCATGTAAGTAATGCCATGCCAATACGTGTGCTATATTTCACTTTAACAATTTAACTGAAATGCCATGCCAATACGTGTACTATAACTCACTGAAACAATTTAACTGTAATGCCATGCCAATACGTGTACTATTACTCATTTTAACAATTAAACTGTTATGCCATGCCAATACGTGTACTATAACTCACTTTAACAATTTAACTGTAATGCCATGCCAATACGTGTACTATAAATCACTTTAACAATTTAACTGTAATGCCATGCCAATACGTGTACTTTAACTCACTTAAACAATTTAACTGCAATGCCATGCCAATACGTATACTATTACTCATTTTAACAGTTAACTGTGATGCCATGCTAATACGTGTACTATAACTCACATTAACAGTTTAACTGTAATGCCATGCCAATACGTGTACTATAACTCACATTAACAATTTAACTGTTATGCCATGCCAATACGTATACTATTACTTATTTTAACAATTTAACTGTAATGCCATGCCAATACGTGTACTAAAACTCACTTTAACAATTTAACTGCAATGCCATGCCAATACGTGTACTATAACTCACTTTAACAGTTAACTGTAATGCCATGCCAATACGTGTACTATAACTCACTTCAACAATTTAGCTGTAATGACATGCCAATACGTGTACTTTAACTCACTTAAACAATTTAACTGTAATGCCATGCCAATACGTGTACTATAACTCACTTCAACAATTTAACTGTAATGTCATGCCAATACGTGTACTAAAACTCACTTTAACAGTTTAACTTAAATTCAATATCATACACAATTGTAATTATAATCCATTTTTTATATTGCACTATTGTTACGTTCAATGCTATAACAATAACTGTAATCAAGGTAATTGTTGTTTGAAGTTTGTTATTTATAAGTTGTAGTTCGTGTTATCTTACGAAGAAAAAGATTAAAAGTAAATCAATATCTGGACGGAGTGCGTTCGAGTGAGATAACATTGTTAGGGTAGGAAGTAAAATCTACTGTAGGTCGGGGTACCTGAACCATACATATGTTTTGGTCTTATGTTTGATAGGACTTAAATTTCCGATCTGACGAAATGTAAGCTAACCAGCGACGTGGAAGTCTCCTCCGCGTGGAAAGGAAGATATTCAGATCAGGGGTTGTCAGGTTTTATCTTGGTTTCATGTGTACAGCCAATATCTACACCTTTTTGTTGCATCTGTTGCATTACCATTACACAAATGAGAAGTAGTAATATACGTACATTTTTTTTATAGACTCAACTTAGTCTTATATATTTTTGTTATTCGGCACTTATCTTCTGGTTGTTTACGAAAGTTATCTATGTTAAATAATTTGAAATTTGATTTTTGTTTTATATATATATATACACAAGTATTTTTTAAATGGAATGAATCCTATATTTATTCCCAAAATAATCAAACATGTTCTCATTTAATGGCTTTATATCTTTATATTTGAATTTCATTAGAGCAAGATAAATCTAAGGGGTTTTAAAAAACTAAGCAACATTATATCTACAATTTTTTTTAAACATGCATAAACATGAACCCAGCAGTATGAGTCACACGCTTGATAAATGTTTTATTTTTATCATTTTGATAGATAATCTCGCGTTTGGGAAACAAGCGTCACAAAGTACAAATTACCTGGGCTGGTATGCTAACAAAGCAGTAGATGGTATCATAGGTAAAGACGTGTTGGCTCATGGAGGAGGAAGCTGTAGTTCTACTAATCCGAACGGATCAAGTGAGGCATGGTGGATGGTTGACCTTCAACAAATATCAAGGATAAAAACTATAAATATAACGTACAGACAGTTGTGTAAGTAATAATTAGGGGACGTATCACCTAGGACATTATATATGGCTGTGCGTCTATCATAGTAAAATGTATAAAAAGGGTGAGAAAAGTTGCAAAATTGGTTACGGCCTTTTTGTGTTGGCACTGACCATAGACAATTTATATACAAAAGTGTTTTAGCCCACGAAGCAAACGATATAGATAATGATATATAGATGTAGATATTGCCTATCAATTTGTATGAGGTGAGATAGTAAGATTTCTGTGTACAGACATATACTTAAATGCTTATATAAGAGCAATAGGATATCGCATGATTGTTTTTGTCAGAAACATTTAGGATAAGATATGGTACAGGGTCATCCTAAAATGATCTAGTACGGGCCATGCTTATTCAGGTATCGAACGTGTATAGTCTATTTATAGCATTGTCTACTGCGGTAAGTCTTTACCTGTCACAAGTATATCGGGTCAAGGCTATGATATTTTTATGTACGTTTGCGATATAGATAAACATTGTCTTTTAAATTTGTCACCAAGAACCTTGTTTTTGTACTTACAACATATTCGGTGCCACTGTTGGTATGTAGAATTGGTTTTTATTTTTTGTATTAATATATAACAAATTATAACTTCAATGTGTACTTTTTATTTTTATTTTAAGCAATGCATTAGATATATCTTATTATGTTATTAACAAACATAAGCAGTCATGTAAAAAACTCAGACACTTTCGTCACCGTTTAAAATCGATACTAGAACAGTCGGTCCCTTAAATATTTCCAAAAACATCTTTGTAAAATGTTTCAGAATTATGCGTAGCGCATGTAGGTAAATACATTGAATAAGGAATCAATAGATATTAACACGAAAAAATCATCAATTTTATAAAGTGTTTTAAACATTAAAAATATCGCACCAGGAGCTTTTGACCTGGTACCTTATACACCTTTTTAGTGTAGATATTAGAGTATTGAGCTTATTAGGGCTGGTAACAAAAACCTTGTCAAGTCATTCAGTTTCACTTCAAATATATCGACAATGTGCTGTCTAATAAAGAACAATACTTTTATTGAGCACATCGATCGTAGATACCATTCTGAGCTTGAGACAAAGGACACAGCATACTGTTCAACTCCAGCTGCTCTCCTAGATCTTCCCGTACAGCATAACCAACAGGGACGGCTTATAACTAAGCTGTACGATAAGCGGGACGATTTTGATTTCCCGATCGTGAACATTCCCTTTCTTGGTAGTAACATTTTTGCTCCATCTACCCTACAGTGTTTACATGTCGCATTTAATTATGTATTCAAAAGCTAGTTCTAAATATCATGACTTCCGTTAGAGATGTCAACTGCTGACTTACAAAATAGAAAATATGGTTTTCAAAGAAGTTGGTTGATTAAGAATATGGACAAATTTTGTGTTCGCCATCATGATCTCATATGGAAATATACTACAGGTGTATTTCTTTGTGTTATAGAAAGGTCGATGCTTTTGATTGTGCTAATGAGTGAGTCTTATTGTATTGTTTTCCCTACCAGTGGTTTCAATACGTGGACGTTACACTACCTTGTTTTGACCTAGATTTACATCGCGGGTGTCGTCAATCAACCGGAACACGGTGTCTTATTCTCCTAGTTCCTTTTCAAGAGTCTTCTTGTGAACCCTTCTTTTGTTAATATTTGCCATGGTTTCATTGTTGGAGTTCGAATTACGTTTTGGACACTTCGGTATTCTCGTGTTGTTTTCAATCAAACTAAACCAAACTCTTGAAGTTGTGTTTTGTCGATAAAATCTATGTATCGTGAAATCGTCTTCATTGTAAAAACTTTTTTATGGAATCACATTAAAACCAATTGATATTGCCATTGCTTTCTTGCACGAAAATTAAAATAAAAGTTGTTTAATTTGATAACTAAATTTCACGTGTTCATTTGAACGTATATCAGTATTTGTACATCTCTAACCTAAAGTAAAATACGAAAAAATATATCCTTAAATGCATTTAATATTCAAAGAAGTGCATTTCATCCTTCATTAAAAACACGTTTTTTCAGATCCCTTTCGACTTTCTGGATTTTATCTTTATGTTTCTAATACGACTGCTGTGGATAATCTACAGAACACTGGACATCTGTGTTACCATGACGACACAAAGAACCCGGATTTTCCATCAGTAAACCAATCTCGTTCTTGTCCCGTTGACGGGATATATGTCATTTTCTACAACAGGCGTCCCGCTGAAAATGGACCAAAGTCTGATTCACACTACTCGACAACAGACGCTGTTGTTGAATTATGTGAGGTGGAGGTGTTTGGTAAATATATATATTAACCAAACCCGTTTTTATAAATGCAGAACTAGAAAGATTATAAGTTATCACAAAATCAAACGCCATTTGTCCATCTACGATTACTGTTTCAGTTTTCTTGAAGGAGCAGTAGTTGTGTTGTGTTGTTCAATAGTTATAATCATGGTTTTACAAGCTAAATGTATGAATGCAATTCGAGCCGATTAGGATTTTGCTACTTATTGATAAAGACATGAAACGTAAACTATTTTTTCCCTGCTGCTAGGATGTCCCGTAAATAGCTTCGGACCTACCTGTAATGGAACATGTCACTGTGGCTCGAGTGGATGTGATCCTGACACTGGACTATGTGACGTCACTGGCTGTCAGAGTGGATGGATGGGGCTAACCTGCTCAAATGGTGAATTAACTTTTTATATATTATCCATTAGTATGGTATAATTGCTAACAACATGTCGTTCTCAAAATGGTTCATTCAAATTACTATCCTTATTTTGAATTGCAGGTTAAGGCTTCCAACAAGTTAAACTGTATTATTAATATATTTAATATTTGCTTAGGTCCTTTTCGAAAGAAGTAATTGGTTAAACTCACATGATGCCACATCTTTTACAGCATTATAGTTATTCACAATTTGATTGCTTAACAATAAAATAAAAAGGAAACAAGACAATCACAGGGGTAGAACTCGCGACAGTTGCAAAACCTACACTTCACCAATATTACTTACTATACAGAAACTATGGAAGCTCCGCAACAAAATAAGTGTCCAATTGATGGCAGCTAAGTGAAAAATCAACCTGAGAAGGGAAGTAACCCTAAACTAGAACACATTCTTGCAGTTGCTTAATCTTCTGTATACAGAAGGGGGGTTATAAAATCTCAGAGTGGAACCCTTTTTCGCAATTACAAATGATGTAGTGCACCTTTTACCTTAATGTAAATTTTAAACTCAATTGTTTTTAGTGGCCAATATCACGCTGTGTGATTGTTTACAGTATAATGTATTCAAATCAATTTTCAGTATGACTTAGCGTGTGTTCTTTGCTATGAAAATATTGATTTAGCGTGTGTTCTTTGCTATGAAAATAAACTTATATATATCTTTGTTTATTTTTTTGCAGAATGTGAACGAGCAACATTCGGCGTAGATTGTAGCTCAACATGTCATTGTTCCACACCCGGATGTGATAGAGTGACCGGAAGCTGTACAGTGCGAGGATGTGAGGCAGGATGGCAAGGGAATGCCTGTGATCATGGTAAACTTTGTTTGAGTAACTAACTTATAGCATTGTTTTATTGGTTTGTTTTTATATTTTCATGATCTTAGCTGTTAAACACAAACAACAGTTGAAGTTCAGATACATAGAAGGCCATTTAGGTTTTTCTACATTGCAAGTAAATTATCCACAATAATGAAATGTATCTTTGTTAAATGTTTTAGTATTTGATGTTTTTATTATTTATATCGCGCTAGCTGGTATATACTGGTCTTTTGATATAATTTCATCATTTGCAACGTGCTGATTATCTAACGGAGTTATGCTTTTCATTAAGAGTGTGAAACTGAACGATTTGGCAAGAACTGTTCACAGACCTGTCACTGTGTTTCATCTAGTTGTGACCAATTCAATGGGCATTGCACGCACACAGGATGTGAACCTGGATGGACAGGAATGGCTTGTGATCAGGGTACTAAATTAATGTATTAATCAAAGATAAAGTCCTCGGTTTAAGTCAATTGATGCATTGATAGAAATATGTTTAAAAGGAAATTGTAAAGAACGTGTCGTATATCAGATTGTCAATTTCACAAATTGGTTTGGTTTACTAGATTTTTTTCTTTATGTTTGTTTTAATTGCTGCTTTTATTGTAAAAACAAACCTGCAATACTTTTAAATTCATGTATATTTCTCTACATTGTCCCCTATACTGTATAACACGAAATGTTCGTGGGTAGTTTCCTTCGTGGTTGGAAGCCTTTTAGATCGTTTCGTGGTACAAACTTTCGTGGATATCCCCTATTAACAAACAGTAAACACGTATATCATTTAAATTCGTTGTATTTATTTTAATAGCAACCACAAATACCCTGAATGTTTATATACAACGAACATTTCATGGTATACAGTATATAAACTCTCTAGTAGATTATACTGGCACCGAGTAAAAATTATATTTCATACCTTGAAAGTATACTGTTCCGATATATATATATATGTGTTCCATTGCGGGTAGCTTCAATATAAAAAATGAGTATATACTTTGTTTGACATTGTCTTTGTAACAAACTTACCGATATGTTGTTAACATTGTTTCAGTCTGTACCACCGGACACTTTGGGAGGGACTGTACACAGACATGTCACTGTGCTATTCCTGGCTGTGACAGATTCAGTGGACTGTGTACCCATACTGGATGTGATGCAGGATGGGAAGGTCCGACTTGTGAGAAAGGTTATACAGCCTTTTGTTTGTATTGTGTAGTCATCATCAACCATTTCATATAACTAGACGGGTATTTTATTCCAAAGATTATTCATAAAATCAAAATCTGCCAAGCAATCTCTAAAATAACAGGAAAACGTGTTCAGTATACATGTATGCAAGCTATATCAATAGAGAAAATGTTCTTGCTACAAGTTAAATTATGTGTCCTAAACTGTCATTCTTATTCAACTAAATTATCATGAAATGTTGACATATCACAATAGCCTGATATAAGTTTCATTACAAATCGTCTTCATTTCATGAGAAGTGACCTTTTCGTGATAATTAGGGCGACTTGTCAGAGTTTAAGTTGACCACAATGGGTACTGTTTGTTATAATGAGTTATGCATACAATACAATCATTTTAACAGATCAGTACAGAAATTTAACCCAATTCTTAAAGTAGATTACGAATACACTATATATTACGTACACAAATTTTAATTGCTAGCATGCGACATTGATAAATATGGCCAAGATTGTAAATACACTTGCAACTGTGCTACTCCCGGATGTGACGTCGTTACTGGTTATTGTATCGTGCCCGGATGTAGTGTTGGATGGGAAGGTGCGACTTGTGATATAGGTAAATGATATGTTAATCAAGATCAATTTCTACGTTAATGGAGAATAGTTTATATGATTGTATATTTTCATAAACTTACCTGTTAAACACAAACATAAATTGAAGTTCAGATACATGAAAGGCCATTTAGATTTTTTTCTACATTGCAAGTAAATTATCATCAATAATGAAACGTATCTTTGTCAACTGTAGAAGTATTTGATGCTGTTCAAGGTCTAATTTGCTGTTTGAATAATTTATACCGCGCTAAATGGTATGTACATTTTTGTTTATATAATTCATCATTTGAAACGTGCTAATTATCAAACGGAGTCTTGCTATTCATTTAGAGTGTGAAACTGAACGATTTGACAAGGACTGTTCACAGACCTGTCACTGTGTTCTACCGGGTTGTGACCGATTCAATGGGAACTGTACACATAGAGGGTGTGCATATGGATGGCAAGGAATGGCTTGTGATAAGGGTACTACGTTTATGTATTAAATTAAGATTAAGTCCTCGGCTTGATTGTCTTACTAGAATTGTAATGCATTAACAGAAATATATTTGAATGGAAAATGTTCAGAATGTGTCGTATATCAGATTGTCAATTTTACAAAGGGGATATGAGCAATTGTTGTGTAATAATGTGTTGCATTATTTCTTTATGCTGGTTTTTTCTTTCTTCATATATTGTAAAAGAATATCCGACATTTAAAGAAGTAATTAATTTTTTCTACACATTGTCTCCTATATATAAACCACCTAGTAGATAATTATATATATAATTCTGGCACCTTACAAACATTTTAACAGATCAATACAGATATTTAATCAAATATTTACATTAGATTATGAATACTTTGATCTTACGTACACATATTTTGATTGCTAGCATGCGACATTGGTAAATATGGCCCAGATTGTAAATACAATTGCAACTGTGCTACTCCCGGATGTGACGTCGTGAGTGGTAACTGTATCGTGCCCGGATGTAGTGTTGGATGGGAAGGGTCAGTTTGTGATATAGGTAAATGATATGCTAATCAAGATCAATTGATACTCTTTGGTTAAATAATTAACACGAGCTGTTAGCTTGCTAATACTTATTATACATCTTTATAAATCTTATGTAAACATATAACAACTGATTCGAATTAACTTTAGATGTAAGGTTACTTATACCTCTGATATATGTATGTTATGTAAAAATATATTGAAATAAGATGTTGTATACATATTCATGTAATTTTTTATTTATCATATGTTTAAAATACAATATTAGAGTAGTTGTTGATGAGATATCCTGATTTTGTTCATTTTCGAAGATTTGTCGATTTTACATGAAACGAAACTCTTCCTTTATATTGTTTATATAATTCAGCCTGCAACGTCAGCTCACTTGGTAGTAACTGTACCGAACCCGGATGTAAAAGATTTACCGGATTTTGTAACGTGTCAGGGTGTAATGTTGGATGGACAGGGCCGTCCTGTGACAAAGGTATTCTAATAAATGGGTTTTTTGTAGTTTACGTATCAACATATTTCAAATATATAATTTACGTTGTCTGCTACATCTGTTTGCTCTTTCCATCTTTTTCGTCTTAGACTAATTGAATTTCAACCAGAAATACGCTGAGTAAGAAATCGGCAAAGTTTATGAAGGAACAGCAACTTACTGAAAAAGAAATATTTTCTGCGTGCACCTTTACCTTAGCTGATATTTGCTATAACAATTAGAATTCTCAATGCGTTCCACAGCATGATTTGGTTAACATACAATTACAGTAATGGTTTTATTTTCCTCAGAATGAATTGTATAGTACTGATGGTTAGTTAAAAATCAAGATACTGGTTTCATTTGTACATATATAGGAAACCAATCGCTTCTTTATGTCAGCATATAACTAGTCTTAACAAGCCCCCTTAATAGGGAACAAGACATACTACTGATACTAAAAGTAGGTGTGTTCTGATATATGTAAAAATGCATTGGTGTAGAAAGATTGAATTAACGATGTTCAATTTTGATACCAAGAATCTGTAAAATATATTAATCTTAACAAAGGAATATTCCATAATATGCTGCTGTTTCTATTTATGTAGCATCGATTAAAATAAACAGGAAAGACAATTCGATATGTGGTGAGGTACGTACAGATGAATTCGAAGCTTGTTATCCTGTTGGTATAATGACAAAATTCAAAATATATATATCTTAACCTTTTTGGATATTTAACTCCGATTGCCACTTAGTACAAATGTTTCAAATATTACAACTGATCTCTTTGAACATGAATGCTGAATTTTAAATCAGGAAGAAATATACAAGAAATTACACGTATACATGTAATTCTGTAAATCATGGAAGACTTGTTTATTTAATTTTATTTCAGAAATCAGGGCCCGATGCTTCAATTAGCTACGCACTGCTTGGAGCATTACTTTTTATTTCAATCGGGATCAACATAGGATTAATTATTGACCGTCTAAGGTATGGCGAGGGTGTGTTTATTAACCAACGTTTTCGTTGTTGCTCAAAACGTTACCTTTTTATACATGCATGTACTATGCCTGGTTCAAGATTATTTGATCTACCTCAAGTAGCTTTATGAGCTGGTATATAGCTTTAAGTAAAAAAAAAAAAAATCCCGCATAATTTAACCGAATAACTTTATGGTTTGCTCTACATGTCTTTGCTACCAAAGTCATGTGTAAGGTATGATCCCAGAGTTTTTAGACAAAACAGATGCATTACACACTTTTCAAATTTTATTTTCCAAAATTTAGTTTTCAAATAAATTATTTAAATGTAATACAAAAGAAAAACTTGAACAAGAGGAGTTCTTAATGTTTAAGTCTTGTGCTGTACCACCAAAACGTACAATTGGTTATAAAAGTGAGGAGAAATAAAAATAAAAAAGGAAAATAAATAAATTTATAAATAAACTAAGAATAGGTCACATCTGAGAAGAAGTATGTATCGTATCCATGATTATTAATACAGGTAACACATGCTTGGATGAAAATATTTGTCAATAAGGAGCTTATATTTATAAAATATGTTAGAGTTGATAAGTTAGAGGTGAAAATGTTGTTGATTTTTGTTTTCATTTATACCTCTCTCATTTTCACGCTTAGTCAAAGTTTACTAGATTCTGTCTTTATATTTGACATACTTGAGTAAAAATGATAGTTTGTGTTTTGCACAAAAAGGTGTAATGCAAATGCATAAATCACAAAACTAAATTAAAAATGCAATTTAGAACAGACAAATGTTGACAATGGATGCACGACACACACAAAGTAAAGTAAATTACTCTGATCGAAAACTGGTACTAAGTATAAGTATACAGTTAAGTTACATTGATAATATTCTGAATATTTATGAAATGAGACATCTGTACAAGAATCTACCAACTGAAAACACCTGTCATGAGACCATGAATACACTTTGAATACAACGATTCTTTAGCAACCAGTCAGCTGATTTCACACACAATGACAAAGTATACTACTATGCCTAGTATCGTTCCTGAGAAGAGTTATCTCCCCTTCTCCGAGATAACGTAGTTGCGAGAAATAATAAAAAAAAACATTACAAAAATCATTAATGTGCTATTATTATCTTGTCTTTTAGTTTGAAATTAAAAAAGAAAATATTTATAATATTGTCATATTAAATACTGACTTCCGACTCGCAATCGGTTCCTCGTGGTCAGGAACTTTCCAACTCCCAAACGTTCGGCTGGGTAATCCCCGTGATAGCAACTTGCACATTAAACCCAGAGAACTTTGTAATGGCACAGGTTACCTCATTCATCAATTTATCATCATTTACATCTGCAGTTTTTTTTGCAAACAGCATTTTCAACGACTGTACATTTAACTTCAAATGAGCTCTTTGCCTACTGCCGACGGGTGTCCTGGATAGTGATAGATGATTTGAAATAGTGCGGAATGAAAGGAATATCAAGTGTTCGTTATTATTAGGTTATATATTTTTCGTTTCAACAAAATCAGCTGATCGGCGGAAGTTGAACAACTGAAGTTTGTGTGTAGGCTGCAGTTCTGGCTGTTCCCTTTTTACGGTTTTCTGTCTGATACTGATATAAAAAAAAATAATTTTACACAAAGTGTTTTTTATTGTAGTTTACCGTAACGCAAATATATGAATTGAATGGATTCTTTTTCATGTACATTACGGCAATGATTAGCAGTAGCTAACACGCTCCACAGGATATGTAGATCAGCTACTGCTATTCATTACCGGATATGTAGATCAGCTCCTGCTATTCATTACCGCAATGTACATGAACAAAAATCCATTCAATCCCTATATGAATAAAGCATGTCAACATTACTATAATACTTTGACTTTTTTTTTGTTGGCACACGATCATTCTCTTGATGTTTTTGATTGAATGTTCACTGTGAAATTAACCTATGAAAAACTAATTTCAGAACAAAAATGAGAACGTCACCGCCTGGAAGACCTGACAACGAAATACATTATCAGAGTAAATATTATTCATATTGGATTTATTACATGAACCTAACTATTGTACATTGTAACGTTTGAAGATGAGAAATATGATATATTATTAATAATGATGGGCAATTTAGATAAATGAAAATTAGCACAGGAGTTAAATATATATATATACATTTGATTTCAGATTGATAATGCATGTTTACTTATGATATATTTATCTTTAGCAATTTTCTTTTCCAGATACAGTGAATGTCAATGAGAACTACGCCAATCTTGATTCATCGAAAATTGAACGATCAAGCAACATCTATGAGACCATAGGCACGTAATGTGGCTAAGATAGGCAAAAAATACTATTTTACTTATTGATTTCTGCTGAACTAAAGTTTACATTCTTGCTAATATTTGTGATATACATGTATGTGAGAACTATTGACGCATCAAAACAAGCATGTATGATACAGAAATGTTTGTTAACTTACAATAATAAGAGCGAAGCTCTTTAATGGTAACACATGAGTGCGTAAACGGAGTTGCTTCCCATTGCTACACGTTGCCTTTAATTTTTTCGTCCGGAAGTAGACGTCCAGTGGGGAAACAGGAAGTGTATCCTTGAAGTAAAGACAAATGTGTTTCAACCCATCCATGAATATCTTCATATAGTGAAAACAATCTTCATGTTTTATTACTTGTTTATTTAGATAAAAAATAATATACATTCTGAGTGAAAAAAGTCTATCACATAAAGTGTGATAATAACAGGCATGAAACTTCGTTCAGAGATTATCATACTATGATGTCACAAGCACGTCACAATCAGTCGGCCTTCATCGGTTATTTTAGGAAGGATGGAAAATTACCGGAAAATTCAGGAAATGACGTCCGTTGCATTTATCTCTTTGTCGGTGCTTCAAGACTTTTTTTCTCATTTTTTTCCACAGGCAAAAAAACAAAAAAATGCGGATATTTTCTGAAGATTTTATTTGTCATCAACCAATGCAAGTTATGTTGATATTTCTACCGGGAGATATCTTCAAAAAGAGATCATTTAAAATTGCATCAGATTTTGATTTCCATTTGTTGAGAATATGAACGAAATAATTAACATTTTTGAAAGTCTGGATATAGTCTTTACATTATTTATGCATCATCACTCATAAACGAAGCAATGGAAAATGCATTTATTACGAAATTAACAATAATTTTCCAGACAACCAACCCAAGTGCAATGCCCTTTTTCAGCAACGTATTACTTTTTCACAACGTGTGCCGATTTATAACGAGTTACAGACAGAAACTGTAATTTTATTTGGCATCATTACCTGTAAAACCTCGGTGACAGTTACAAAATTTGAATTTCAATCCGGTGTTTCAGGATGGAACAGTAATTGAGACTACATATCGATATAAAGACAATTTCAGTAACATCAAGTATTACAATGTTTTCTTTTTTAATTTCATTTTTTCTTTTACTAACATCTCTATACATTTTCTTAGACTAATCGTCAAATATGTAATATGCACTTTTTTCTATAGCAATTACCAAACAGTTTTCCCCCAGGTTATCTCAATCATTCTTTTTGTGTCCTGACGGAAGCACGCAGAGGGTTTAATTCTGAATATGGGAGGAAGCTGGAGTATCCGGAGAAACCCCGCGTGGTCGGGCAGGTGACCTCTCAAGAATCCGGCTATCTTGGTGAAGACGAGGCCACTATCTACTGCGCCACCCAACCCATCATATACGTTAAACACAGGAACAAATATCTACTTCTACTACTGGAAGAAAATATCATTGTGAATATATCTTTACCAATCTTCAATGATATAAAAAATCTATATACGGGAGACCGGGGCAAGTTCGGCCATCCCTGATATTGTTTTGTTTTTGAGCTAATATTTACAACTTAAAGGATCTTAGCACTTTAGTTGGCTAGGCATTCAACCACGAAAAAATGGCGAGGTAAACTCTAATGTAAAATGACTTAACAAGAGAAAAATACTTTTGAGAAAATCCTGATCTCGCTTCTAGTTATGCGAACTTTTTGAAACGGAATTGCTACTTTTTACAGTCAAACGTGTAACACACTGACAGCTTCAAAGGATAATACATAAACGCCAAGCCAATCACTCACTACCATATTGCTGTACGATAAGAAGTTATTGAAATATCAATTTGGGCCCGAACAGGTTCGACCAATAATACCGTGGCAAGGTCGGCCCATGTAGTTAACACATACAAAGTCGTAAAATTGGCGGTAAAAGCTGACGTTGCATTCTTTATGATATCATGATTAAGCTGATTCTATTGAGGGGCGAACTTACCCGAATGCCTGTCCGAACTTAACCCCATGGCGGGGATTGTTCGGCCATCCGATCTTCCATTAGGAAAAGTTAAATAATTAAAAAAAACCGGACGTGCTGCCATACTTCCTAGAACGGACTTTAATTAAAAAAAATGTCGAACTTGCCCCGGTCTCCCTATTGTTATGTCGGTCTTAATCTCATTAGAGCTTGAGTTTTATTGTTATTCCTCGACTAGCCGACTTTAAATAAAGTTTATCTGATCTCATTCTGAAAGTTGTATTCTGAATCAGTAAATATCAGAGATCAACAAAGGCTACGCTCTTTTAAGGATTTGCCTTTTCATATTAACACTGGACATATGATATTGACTAAGGAACAAAACTGTCTTCTATAATATTTTTGCATTGATCAGTGATAAATTGTCGTAAACACGCATACAAATTGTCCCGTCTATCATAAACAATAAGGCATACCTGCTGATAATGAGACAGTGCCAGATCTTCGAGATGGTTCATCAAGAAGTATCATAATTGTGACAAGATCTCAAACCGTCAGTATCTTTAGAAAGTGCAAAGTATGAATTATTTTACATTAATTTTCATAAAATTATTATTTCATTGACATTTAGTAGTTTGGGAGATATCGCTTTTTTAACTCACTGTCACTGGAGGAATACAATCTTTTATGAATTGTAATTGTTATCATTATTATCCTGTTTGAAGTGTTTTTGCTTGACCGTTTGACTATATATATTGAAAGATTAAGAGAGTTACAAGAAAGCTGGTTTTAGCACAGAATACATGCTTAAAAAAGAAGTTTTTGACCTTAGTACCACGTATGCCACCTAAATGAGCAATTTTATAAATTAGCGCTTCCTAACCTCGTTTTTTTTAAGTGATCATTTTACACTGAAGGTAGACTATCATTCCCCGAAGTTAATCTTAATCTTGAAGCCGAAATTCAATCTGGAACGGTTTACATTAAAGAAGTGTCATGTTAAGACATGGAGTTTTATTCATTTGACTAAGTCCGGCCTCCTTCCAAGCAGGCGGTCGGGTTTCGATCCCCGAAGTCGCCGTACGCATGGAATATTTAGAGAAAGTGTTTTTCTCCTGTCCACACAACTCCAACAACCCAGGTGGAGTATAACATGGTCTGGGATGGGTGTTGCGGTATCTGTGCTGTATCATTCAAGTGAGGTGGCACTATAAATGATACCGTTGGAAGCACTGTCCCACTACAAACAGAACACAATACATCTCCAGCACACACACAAGCATACACACAGAGAGAGATGTTGGCCAGGTGGCATAGGACTAGTAGTAAGCGCCTGATAAGACAGCTCCTGCGAATTTCTCAATATTGTATTGATTAATATCTATATATGCTAATTGTATTGACTGTAAAATTGTATATCTGTGTACTGTAAAGCGCTTTATGTTAGGTATATAGGGCGTTATATCAAATGTTGTATAATTATATTTATTTATTTTATGTAAACCAGATTCACTTCCAACGCCAGGTAAAGGTATTGTCCTGGATATTCGATTGTTTCCCCTTTTGCAAAATTTTGTAATGTAGGTAAATTAAATCTAAGAACGACATTTCGTCTAAAACCAAGTTGGCTTTACTTTAATATGAATATTTTACTGATAGTTTTATAGATCGATATAGAATATCGAAAGTGTGGTTGGACCCGACCACTTCATAGAGAATAAAGAGAATCATATTTAATATGGATGAACAGATTTGCGTTCACACCTGCATAAATGTTCAGAATATTCCGTAGTTATAAGTATTAAAGTATCAAATATTTAAATTCCATGATATTTGCGGAGTGAATGTCTTTGTATCCATAATGCAATCGGATACATATATATATGTCTGCTTCCTATGATAAGCTCATGTTATTATAATAGGAGAGGGCAGCGATTGCCGAGTGGTTCAGGTGTCTGACTGTCTACGATTACTAGCCCTCAACCACTGGGTCGCAGGTTCAAGGCGTACGTTGAGGAGTTGACAGATACTGAATGAGAAATAATTTTATTTTAATCGAATGAATAGTTACTTGTTTTGAGCTATGCTATTTTAGGATTAATGTATGTCCTTCATAAATCTTATCAACGCACGAATTGAACATAATTTGTCTGCTGTTACGTGTGTATTTGCGGAATATTGAAAATGTTTCACAATAAACACTTGTTTGATACAAAAAATGTCATTTGTAACCTATTGTTCGCACACACTCGCGATGATACAAAAGTTACGTCACCATGCTAATGTACAATGCGTTCTTTGTATCTCGGTACCGTTTCCAATAACTACGCAATAATCTCTTATCTCTGCTCGCCTACATATTCTTTTTGTCGACGTCGATCGATTTGGACAAGAACTACGCATATTTCGTCTGTCCTTCAGCATGGCATCTAGCAGGAGCAAGCACGAGATCCTACAAATTATTGTCATAGGATGTTTGGCTGTTTTCCCTCAATTTGTTTATGCGTCATGTAAGTTACACCTTATAATATACTCCAGAAACAGAAAACTGAGTTTTACTATTTTGCACTTAAAGTAAATCAGTTTAGAGTTAGAAAAATATATTGTAATTTTTTATTAGATAAAACCAATTTCGCGTATTTACGACTAAATTAATGAAATACGCCTTGTCAGACTTCTACGAAACCCCATAACACTCTTAATATCAAATGGGTCGTGGCGATTTCAAATATTATATACATTTATGGGTTTTTTGGAAGTTGAAAGTGTACTTGGCTAAATTTATAGCGACACATGTATAACTAGTTTTGTAAATAAAAGCGTACTGCGTTTGAATTTCGATCAGTATCTACATGTCGTAAAATACTATTGTAGTTTAGATTGTTCAACTTCACATTTAAGTGACGTTGCACATTAGATACAGGTTTCAATTTTGTTCGGATACAATGCCAATTAAACGATATGGTCCTTATTGGCCGGTCAGTATGGGTTTTATATCACAATATATACCAAATGGGAGCTGACATAACTCTTTAGTTTCGGGTATATGCTTAGACTGTAATGCGTGTTTGACTTTAGAGATACAATTGGTAAGAGACCTATCCTAAATGCTATATAAGTATGGTGCATGTTACCAGTGAAATGTGACCAGTGTTATGATTAACTTAGTAATGATTGAGCTCATTCTAATATTAATTACAAATTCCATAGTTGAGTACAATTTGATAATAATAGGGGGTGTTAGAGTAAAACCAAATGTAAACATTGTTATTGTTATATAAAAAGGCGGCAACAAATATATATATTCTGCTTTGCTTTGTTAATATCTTTTCGAAATTTGTATATCTTCCCCTAGAAGTACTGTTGTTATGAAGTTAAAATCATCAGTTATCTATTTTTGTAAAATATATACAAAATGTAAGAAACAAAACTATCTTTTTCATTCTGAATGTTTTACCCCGGTCTCAGTGTTCTTACCCTTGGTGATCAAGCTGGATCTCTATTTTGCGTTGATGCCTAATCAATATTACCAAACTGTCTGGTAGTTTTACGTGTCATTTCGCGGGATGTTTGAATTGCATTGTAATCATCCGCGCATTAACAGCTTGAAATTGACAATCTGCATTAAAAATGTTCTGTTTTGTTGTTATGTGTATTGTTTTGATGTTGCTAGATGTCTGATGCTGAAGATAAAATATAATCTACTCTACGAATTACGTTGTCTTCTTTGTAACTAAAAGATGCGAGAAAACAAAGGCAATTACCAGTAACTGAGCACGATGGGGATATCGCAGTCTCGGGCTAAGATATCCTAAACGACGACAGAAAGTGTTGTGGTAGCAGTCCCCCCCCCCCCCTTTTTTTTTAAAAGATACTGACGTATTATACAAAAGAAATCCATCAAGTTCGCTGCTTGCATTAATACTATTTGTGACATGCGTATGATGTTTGTGATTTATGGGTTTTAGTGCTCTAGACTCGCTTTCTATATTCTTGTGTGTTTGGTGTTCGACGAACGTTATCGATATATTTCATACCATACACCGATACACCAACTACATGATATATTTGTGATTCATTCAGATATATTAATGCCAGGTGAGTAAATGTTTAAATAAACTACATTTTCCAAACACATGCTTCGACGGAGAATATCTAAATCAGATGGATGCTGTCAGTTTGTTGACGTTCCAAGCAACGAAATCAAACGTTTTTGTCTACGAAAATCAGATTTAAAAATCCTCTATGAGCTTTATAGCTGTGTAATTGCTTAAAATGCTTTTATAAAATGTAAGATTTATTTCATGTTAAGTCAAACTGGTCTAAACAAAGTTACTCGATTCCTTACTTAATGTGGGACTCAACTTAGCAAAACTATACTTTGGTCAGGTTTTCTTTTTTAATGGTTGTTTCCAACTTTTCTTTTGAAGATTTAGTGCTAGAGATCATAGATAAAGTCAAAACCTAGAAGTTTTGGTTTGGTTGGTTTGTGTTTTACGTCCTATTAACAGCTATGGTCATTTAAGGACGTGTTTTGGTGGTGGAGGAAAGCCGGAGTTCCAGGAGAAAAACCACCGACCTGCGGTCAGTACCTGGCAACTGCCCCACGTAGGCCTCGAACCCGCGACCAAGTGGGAGGGCTAGTTGTAGCAGATTGTCAGACGCCTAAACCACTTGGCCCCTGCGGCCCCCGCCCTCGCCTAGAAGTTTCATCTCTTTCAATATTAATGTTTTATTAGTATTAAATATTCAGATCTTTTCATTTCAAGTTCAAATATGCCACGATACTTGATTCGGCCTCAAACAGAGTCAAGTAAGGGTATTCGTGTATATGTATACAAGGAGGTAATGTGACTATCGGATTGAATCATTGATTGATCGATCAATAAGTAAATCTTTTTAAATGAAGTGCCCATCATAAAGCGTAAATGCTGTTGTAGGGCAAACACATTTAACACTAGGCCAGGTCTGACGACATCACACAGGTCATCAAAGAGAACACATATAGGATTGCAGCGAATTTACACGGCTAACAGATTAAAAGTAAAAGACCTAAGACCCTTTAAGATATTATTTGAATTAAGTCAGTATAAAGTATGTTGTGTGATAAATAATAAAGTAATCTAGAATTTGTTTTAAGCATACCAAAATAATGAAACTTCAAACGAAATGCCGCCCTTTTTTCCTTAAAATACTATGCCAAACACACATCCTCGTATTTGTGCGTTATTGCTGGTCACGGAAACCATCCCAGAATAAAAAAAACCCAGATCATTAAAGTGCACGTAAACCGTTCTGGAGGTGAATGGTATGCCTGTTCCTAGATAAGGAAGATAAGGTGTCTATAACCTCGCCAGATATTTTCTCGAGAAACTCGTGGTGTCGCCACCTGCTCAAAAATGCTGAAGACCACGTTTGACGCTATTTTTGTAACCAGTGATTCTTCACAAAACTGAGACAGGCGGTATGCAGCAAGGACACCTACGAAGACAAAAAACTAACTTATAGTTTTAATTATGAATTAGACCATATAACAAATTAAAAAACTGAACTTATTCACATCCTTCAAAACACTAAAATGGTTCGCGTCCTTCACTCTCAAGCATACATGCAGTTCATATACTGAAATTCATATCGGTGAGAGCTACGAACATTGTATGTATATTGCTGGACATTTGAAGGCACGGCAAAATTGAAAAGTACATTTATATAGAAGAGCTACCCGTGCTCTCCAGTTTACGATGCGGTTTCATATGAAGAATGAAGATATGATGACGGGCGGTGGCGCAATTCAAGACAAAAAATCGAACTCAAAATCAATAAAACTAAGGCAAAATACATGATCAAAGAAACGATTTAAATTGAAACCGTTGAAAAGGCACAAAGAGAAAACGAAAAAGATCATGTGTTGCTGATTAAAAAACGCTTAAAAATACAACGAATAAAAAATTAGCCATTGCAACGAAAAAACTACAAAAGGATATTGAGTGACAAATTTTCATCTTTTTTTCCATTATTTTTCAAAAGTGATTCTGTAAGCAAGACAACTTGAAATGCACAAATTATTAAATAGTATGTTAAGCCATGCATAACACGTGTTTTTCTTCTTTCCTATTTACAGACAACATGGCATTAGGAAAACCTACATTGCAAAGCTCTACTGAGAGTGGATGGGTTTCTGACAAAGCAGTAGACGGTATAATAGGGGCAGACGTCGAATCCAATGGAGGAGGAAGTTGTAGTTCTACTAGACCGTCCTGGTATGATGAGGCATGGTGGATGGTTGACCTAGAACAAATAGCAAGGTTACAAACCATAAATATAACATATAGACAGCTTTGTAAGTTACAATTATGAAAACTATTAATACGAATCCATTTACACGGGTGTATGTAATTCAACATTATTAGATAATGAATTAGAAAAAAACGCAGAAGTGATTATGGTGTGAGAAGAATTTCTGATTAAATATTTTTTTCAATAAAATAAAATAATACATCCTCATCCAACAGTCGTATATTTTAATAACGCGAAATATTAGCATTGCAATCCTAATACGTGTAGGAACAAAAACACATCGGATGCATATGTAGTTTGGATGCTGGATACAATTTTGATATATGTGTATAGTGAGTTATGTCATGATTATTTGAGATTATAATTGTATATGTACTTCAGCTTGGCAATGTTTAATCATTTTAATATGATGAGGATAGTGGATCTATTATTAAAGTTTTTAATGATCTTATAGGAATAGCAGGCGGAATAGTTCTGGCAGTATTCGTACCGTAAATAATATAATAATAGGCACAGACGCTTGCTTTTTCATACATTTTATGAACATATTCCAGCTTATCAAGTAAAGTCAGTAGACTTTCTTTAATATCGAGGTATGTTATCTGCATTCAGAAAGTGTTTAGCGGATGTTGAACTTTAAAGTTTTCATCAAAAGAGCAATCGGCATTAAAATAAAAAGAACCTTAAGGTAAAATAATTCTACTTCTCATTGAAGTGAAAATGGGAATACGAGTTACAACTCAATGGTTTAAATTCAAAACCCTGCTGATAAGTGACTAGTCCGCTCTCTACACTTTGCAATTCGGAATGTGAATCAAAAGGTCAGAATATGTGGGAATAATAGGGGGCATAGATATTTTTACATAGTACGAAAATATTACTGAATGCGCTTTTTATTCTATTTTCATTAAATAATAAATGTTCATTTTCATTAGTTGATGATGATGGTTTCAAATGTATCAACTTGTTTTACGTGTTTCTTGTCTTTTAGGAACAAACTGAAATAAATGAATAGATAAAACTCTATTTCAGATCCCTTTCGACTTTCCGGATTTTATCTTTATGCTTCAAATTCGAGCCGGGTGGAAAATATACAAAATACAGGCTATTTATGTTACCATGACAACACGAGGAATCCGGATCTACCGTCAGTCAACCAATCTCGTTCTTGTCATGTAAACGGGCGATACATCACATTTTATAACAAACGCCCAGCTGATAATGGACCGAAGTCTCATCAATACTACTCGGCAACAGTTGCTGTTGTGGAATTGTGTGAGGTGCAGGTGTTTGGTAAATATTAATCATAACCTTATATTGAATAATGTATTAGGAGAACGAATTCTACATGTAAATATACCACACAGTAACGAGTTAAATGGCCAGATTGTTATTGTTCCGTAATTTCGAAAGAAGCTGTCAGATAATCTGAGTAGTTGAATAATTACAATATTTAAATAATAATCTGACAAGATATCCATAAATGGGTTGATGTGTTATTATGTTTCTCTAAATGCATAGTTATATATTATGTGCGTTTATAGAATTAAGGAAGCTGTTGCAATGTATCTCCGAATAGGATGTCCAGTAAATCACTTTGGACCTGCCTGTAGCAACATATGTCATTGTGGTGTGGGAGGATGTGATCCTGATGCCGGACTTTGTGACGTCAATGGATGTCAGAGTGGATGGAAGGGAACAGCGTGCTCTGAAAGTAGTTCTTTTTTTAATTTATTCATTAATAGTAGACATATTTTGCTAGTGACATGCAGCTGCACGTATGTGGACGCAAATACTTGTTAGCGGGGTTCTACCACTATTAACAAAATAATGGTATAGCCGTTCCAAAAGGTTATTTACATTCGAAACTTGAAGAACTGTGTAAAGACATGAGGCGGTTTCTTATTGAGAAAGGTACCATTCGAGAACAATTCGAATGTCATGGCAATTACTCTTTATTGTAGTGTATAATGATAACGGGTGGAGTAGGGTATATTCATTTATTTGAAAGGTCTGTTAACTGGCGAAAAGTGACACTGATTACAAAGTGTTCTTACCAATAAAATATATAGCGAACGACGAGGCTTTTGTCCTTCTCAAAATTCAACAGTAAATTTAATTTAACAAAGAAGAAATACATATTATAGATTGAAATATTGCCATTCAATTGAAATCATGGTAGCCGTTTCTGATTTCTTTTATTTCAACACTAATTAAGGATAATGACATGAACGTTTGCATCGATATTATTAGCTTTCTCTGATATTATTATAATATTCCCATCTTCCATTGACCTGGTTTCAATATGAAAGGTTGGGACGTCAGGAAACTATGTTACATTAATGACTATAACACGTCATCAAAACCATTGATTAAACTGAGTGCTTGAATTACACGTTTTTGGGGGTTATAACACAAACGATAGTCAAAATAATATTTTGCATCTTTACTGCAGAATGTGAAATCGGCGAATTTGGTGTAGACTGTAGACACACGTGTCATTGTTCCTCACCCGGATGTGATAGATTTATCGGAAGCTGTACAGTGCCAGGATGTGAGGCAGGATGGCAAGGGAATGTATGTGATCAAGGTAAGATTGGTTAAGTTTAAATAACTAATTACTTTCATTGCTAGATTCATTAGGTTTGATAAGTAGTTTAACACATATATATATTTACTTACCATTTAAGAAGGATAGTAATCGGGTTTTTTTATATTATTATTCATGAATCTAAAGAAGATTAAACAACACTTATTCAATGCATCTGTACTTCTGCTATTACGATCGTATTTTGTTGCTAAGTGAAATATTAAGTCGTTCAGCATACCAAGTGACGTAATAGATCTTTAACAATGAAGATGAAAGCACGCGTGTTTTGTAAACATAACTTCTTAATCTGTCGAGCACGTTGTAATATGTTAACATTACCTTTGACCCAGTCGAACATATAGTCGCCATTCGGTGGATTCTGCTTTCGTGACACATCGTGAAATCGCATTATAATAACGTAAACTTGGCTTCAAAACTGATTCTAGTAAGAAAAGTAGCAGTCGGAAAAATGGCTTTGAGCGCTTATAATTGACATAAATATTAGTCATTGCAATTTAAAATATTTTCATACAATATACTTAAAAAGATTACGAAATTTTATCACTTCAATTAACGGCAGTTTCCCGACAGACTGTGGCATGGTCACTTCCATAACAGAACAAAATCGACATTGAAAGGAGAGTTATATTTCATGTATACAACTTACCTCCGGAAATGAGAAATTCAGTCAGGCCACGATATTGTCACATTTTCAATGCCAATTAAGCGTTAGCTAGCCCATGTTTACTAAATGATTAACACGAATCAAGACAATTTATCGCATTGAATGCGTAAAATACATTTCCTTCTTGTTAGTAAAAACACATATGATAGTCAAAAATCTTCGTCTCCTTAATGCAGAATGTAGACTTGGCACGTTTGGTGTGGACTGTATCCACACGTGCCATTGTTCCACGCCCGGATGTAACAAAGCTACCGGAAATTGTACAGTGCCAGGATGTACAGCAGGATGGCAAGGGAATTCCTGTGATCAGGGCAAGTTTGGTTAAGTTTGGATAACAAGTTATTTACATTGCTAGATTCACAAGGTTTAATAAGTTTGCGTTTTTACGTTTATATCATACTTAACTAACACATGCATGCTTTGTAGTAGGTAAGTATTTTATACGTGGCATGCAAGGATGGTAGTAAATTATCTAGTTTATGTCATTATGAAAGGGTCCAAATAAGATAAAACATAAAATCCATCTGAACACTGCAGGTTGATACCGAGTTGGCACTTTGAAGCTACTATTTATCAAATGATTCTATAAATTAAAACATTATTGTGAATTATTTAATATAATATATTGAATGGCAATCACATTTAATTAAAAGCGATATTCAATGTTACTTTTAAAATGTTTTAGGAAAATGCTTTTATTTTAGACTTGTATCAGGCAAACTGTATGTGTTTGCCGACATATTTATATGAAATGAAATCTATAATATGAAATAAAAAAAGGTCGACTTTAAAAGCAGAGTAACATTATTCACCTGTTCTTTGGAAACAAGGAACTCACTCGAGCTTTCCGTCTTTGTCACGTTTTTTATGTCATTTACGCGTTAGCCTGACCATGTTCACATCAACGTTAACACGTCATCAAGAACCCTTTTGCAAACAAAACTGCGTCAATGACATTTGCTTTTCGTTAGTACAAAACAAGAGATAGTCAAAACTGTTGGCTCTCTTTCTGCAGAATGTAAACTTGGCACGTTTGGCGTGGACTGTAGCCACACGTGTCATTGTTCCAAACCCGGATGTGATAGATTTATCGGAAGCTGTAAAGTGCCAGGATGTGAGACAGGATGGCAAGGGAATGCCTGTGATCAAGGTAAGATTTGTTAAGTTTAAATAACAAATTACTTTCATTGTTTTGATAAGTAGTTTTACATATATATATATTTACGTACCATTTAAGAAGAATAGTAATCTTTTGGATTATCAATCTAAAGAAGATTAAACAACACTTATTCAATGCATCTGCACTTCTGCTATTACGACCATGTTCTGTTGTTAAGTGAAATATTGAGTCGTTCAGCTTACCAAGTGACGTAATAGATCTTTATGAATGAAGATAAAAGCACTCATGTTTTGTAAACAGAACTTCTTACTCTGTCGAACACGTTGTAATATGTAAACATTACCTTTGACCCAGTCGAACATATAGTCGTCATTCGTTTGATTCTGTTTTCGTGACACATCGTGAAATCGCTTATGCATTATAATAACGTAAATGTGGCTTCAAAACTGATCCTGGTAAGAAAAGTAAGAGCCGGGAGAAAGGCTTTGAGTGCTTATACTTGACATAAGTATTAGTCATTGCAATTTATAATATTTTCATACCAATATACTTAAAAAAATTAGGATTTTTTATTACTTCAATTAACCACAGTTTTCCGACAGACGTCGGCACGGTCACTTACATAACAGAAAAAAATCGACTTTGAAAGGAGAGTTATATTTCATGTATTCAACTTACCTCCGGAAATGAGAAATTCAGTCAGGCATTTCGGCCACGATATTGTCACGTTTTTAATGCCAATTAAGCGTTAGCTAGCCCATGTTTACTAAATGATTAACACGAATCAAGACAATTTATCGCATTGAATGCGTAAAATACATTTCCTTCTTGTTAGTAAAAACACATACGATAGTCAAAATCTTTCGTCTCCTTAATGCAGAATGTAGACTTGGCACGTTTGGTGTGGACTGTATCCAAACGTGTCATTGTTCCACACCCGGATGTGATAAAGCTACCGGAAGTTGTACAGTGCCAGGATGTACAGCAGGATGGCAAGGGAATTCCTGTGATCAGGGCAAGTTTGGTTAAGTTTGGATAACAAATTATTCACATTGCTAGATTCATAAGGTTTAATAAGTTTGCGTTTTTACGTTTATATCATATTTAACTAACACATGCATGATTTGTAGTAGGTACATAATTTATACGTGGCATGCAAGGATGATAGTAAATTATCTTGTTTTAGTTATTATGAAAGGGTCCAAATAAGATCAAACATAAAATGCATCTATATTAACTGATTATATAAACACTGCAGGTTGATACCGACTTGGCACTTTGAAGCTACTATATAATATGTTGAATGGCAATCACATTTAATTAAAAGCAATATTCAATGTTACTTTTAAAATGTTTTAGGAAAATGCTTTTATTTTAGACTTGTATCCGGCAAACTGTATGTGTTTGCCGACAGATTTATATGAAATGAAATCTATAATATGAAATAAAAAAAGGTCGACTTTAAAAGCAGAGTAACATTATTCACCTGTTCTGTGGAAACAAGGAACTCACTCGAGCTTTCCGTCTTTGTCACGTTTTTTTATGTCATTTACGCGTTAGCCTGACCATGTTCACATCAACGTTAACACGTCATCAAGAACCCTTTTGCAAACAAAAATGCGTCAATGACATTTGCTTTATGTTAGTACAAAACAAGTTATAGTCAAAACTGTTGGCTCTCTTTCTGCAGAATGTAGACTTGGCACCTTTGGCGTGGACTGTAGCCACACGTGTCACTGTTCCAAACCCGGATGTGACAGAGCGACCGGTAGCTGTACCGTGCCAGGATGTGAGACAGGATGGCAAGGGAATGCCTGTGATCTGGGTAAGATGAGTTAAATTGAATAACAAAATACTTTGATTTCTGGGTTTTATCTATAAGACACATTTGTAATTATTTAGTTTTAGATCGGATCGGGTTTACACGTTGTTAATGACAGGATTTGTAGACATCATTAGCTACATGTAGTTATATGATACCTGTAAGTATTTGTGTTTAATTTTAATACACAGAGTCTAGATAAGATAAAGCCTTTTTTTTTTTTTTTTTTGTATCAAATGAATATTTCGTAGCTTCTGTATTTTTGACCTAACAGTGATGAAATATGTTTAATATGAAATGCCAATCATACTCATTGACTTCAATTTTTAAAATCAGTTTTAATTGTTCATTTTTAAGAAAAAAAGAGTTAATATACTTTTTGACTTGTATCTGACATATGTATGTGTTTGCTGACATATATGTAACATATGATAAAATACGGTGATTTTCGAGATGACAGGACACCTTTATATTGGCGAAGCAAACGGCCTTTTTAAAAAAAAACAAAGATCGAATAGAGGTCCCCTGGAAAGGTATGAATATCTTGGTGATTTAAAATAATATCTCACTCAATATCGACCAGACTATGGCAATATCTAAACAAATGAAAGCTTTACTCGGAGACCAATGAACAATTGATAGGATGATATGACCAGGCGATGTAGAAGGGTAAGCGTCTTCTGCTTCTCCGGCTATATCCGCCCTGTATATCGAGGTAAGATCCAAGTTATACTACGTTCTCAAAGTAAAACAAAGTTATAACAAAACCGCCACAAACACTACTGAGTATGATCAGACGTCGATATTAATATATATACAAGAAAATGCAAAAAATGCATGATTAATTTAAACAAATAATTGTCACATCTTTCTCTAATGAATCTCTATCTCTTTACCAAATATACCACCTAAAGATAGGTTTTGTGATGTAAAAGTTTAAGGCTCGGGACCGACCTATGGATAAGAATTATATGACCATTTGTCTTATTCCTGAACCTTTGTGTAATACAACTTCCTTTTAAATTTTGTATTGAGAAAAGGAGATACTGCCTCAAGAAAAATTATCATATAGCCAAAATTGTTGTCATTTCTTTTATGTTTGTTGATAGTTAATCCGTATATACAGTATTTAGCTTAATATTTTCCGTGATTATATATTGTATATGTTATATGTTGATATGAATATTATTTGATTTCTACAAATAACTATGAACATTTGTTTAATCTATTTATAATACTTAACTGCAGCGGTTGTCATTAACCTTTTGATACTCAAACGATGATTACAAAATGAATTGAAAAAATGAAATCAGTGAGATAACTAAGTATAAAGAAATGTTTTACTTGAAAACAATTGACCATTGTATTTACTTTTCTATATTTATGTGTAATTATATTTTTTCTCATTAATACTAATTTTGTAAAATGTTACAACCAAGTTAAATAATAATTTAACACGATCTTGATGGCTAAAGTATTGTCAGTATATAATAAAGGATGAGCATATATCATTTCGATATCAAATAGTTCTCCTTCACTTTCTTGTCTCCCCTCAACTGTAAACCTCCAAGTGTCGACGTGGGTGGAGTCGATTACCTATGTTCACCATCGACTTGTCGCCGAGCAGGAACCTAAACTGCACTCTACATTTGACCATTCCTCGATGTGTTGATTGCATTTATCTTATCGTCAGGTAGGTATACCCCATTAGTGTACTACCTCGATAAAACAATTTTAGCTTCAGAAACAGGATAACATGCAATCATGATTAGAATCTGGTTAGAAATTACATTAAAGATCAAACGTTAACAGGACTTTAATGCATTTACAGTTATGTAACCGCACAGTGCAGCAAATCAACCGTGCGAACATAGTGTGTATAACGTGCATACCGCGCCCGCACATCGCCCGCACATGGTGCGTACGATCATGTGATTTGATTCAACATCGTCTGCCCCGTTGTCTGCACATATATGTAATTTGGTGTAGTTAGTTGGTCAATTTTAATGAAATGATATAAATCCAGAAGATTTTAATTAATATATATTCATTTGTGTCCAGTTTTACAATGCGTATTACATACGTACAGTGTTAAAAAGAATGTAAAACTGTCAAAAAATGGATCTGACTCGCAGGTAACAGATCAGAGAAATAACAATATAATGAGTAAACGGTAGTTTTGTCTGGCCTGAGTTTATTGGCGATACTTTATAACCATTACGTAAACACAACTAGACCTTACCTGTTTATTAATTGTTCGTATCGATTTAATGTTTCTCTATGCGTGACACGTGCGGAATGTTCGATTTACGCCTTTTGTGGAATAACATGAAAGCACCATTTTAGAATAAATGTACACATGAAGATAAACATACAAGTATAGCAAAATATAGTAGCATACCATACAATCAATATTTTAATTATACAGTTTTGAAACGAAATCGCATGTTATTGTAAAAACCATTCCTCTATATATGTAAACGACGATTGTCATCATAAACCGTTCATCTATCGTAAGATTTTCCTCCTTCGCAAAGGGTACACACATCGTCATGCACACATCGTTCACAAACCGTGCACACATCGTGGTCACACCGCACATCGTGTAACGTTGGGCGATCCAACTAATGTGTATATATATATATATTTTTTTTTTTTTTGCTACATTTTAAAATTTAAGTTGTAATTTGTTAATTCTTAAAACATATAGGGATATATCGTTAAGCGGTGTCGATGTATGTCACTAGAGGAATTTGTATCTCTTTGCTTTGTTTTATTTCCTTCCAAAGTTGTATATGTGAAACATTTTCGTAAGAAATATTACATTATATTGATCGCATAAAGGATTATTTATTTACTTTTTTTTTTCTCTAATTCTTAGTTTTTTGTAACGCTTCACAATTTCGCTCTTATTGTGTGTAAGCTTACTAGCGTCGCATGGGAACTCCTTGGTATAGGTACATAAATGATCTATTTTCAAACCAAGGGTTATCAGGGTTACCTTTGTTAGACGTAAACAGACAATATGTACACCTCAAACTATGCAGAGCAAAACGGAAAGATTACCTGACAATACCACTTTCTATATCTTTTTTCTGTATTTTAATCTATTGTAAATATATATATTTACACGTATCTATTAGTTTTATAGTTATTTTAGTTGTCAAAATATATGAATTCAATGATATTTGCGGTGTTAAAGTATCGATATCAAACATTATTTATAGTTCAGCCTAACGTTGAACCTATTACCTTTACAGCCCTATGAATGCATTCTCCTATGGTAGCGTTTATGTAGTGAATTGTAGCGGAAATGTGAATATCTCTAGTGTAGTAGGGGCGATAACTCTGTTATCGTTCTTTGGAACGAAATTATAACACGGCTAAATGCAGATAATTTTCCGCATATATCAGCGATTAGAGTACGAAAAATAACTTTTGCTGAAACTACCCATGTTTGTAGAACTCAGTGCGATCTACCACCTTGTATATCTGTTATATCTGGGGAATATCTAGTTATGGAGATATTTGGGGTCAAACACAGCAAAGTCGGTATTTTGACCACTAGTTTCTGTATAATTCACCCAGGAGAATTAACGTTTAAAGCTGACGAAACGAAACTACAACCATAAGTAGACCCAGCTATTCTGAAGAAAACGGTATATTTGGTTTTGAAAATGGGGTGTATTTCCGGGGTTTCGTGGAATTTTCCAGAAGATCTGATTTCCCCGGTCCTCCTTAAAAGCGTCTTCAACCGACAACAAACGTCTTCAAGTGACAACAAGCGTCGCCAGACAGAATCTATAGAAATACTGAATAAAGTAAGCGACATCAGAAGATATGTTGTTAATATGACTAAAATACACCTTTATACCAAATTTCAATTTGATATTTGAAAAATTTACCGAGTAAAGATGAATTGAATTTTACGATCGACATCAGAGTATTGAGACTGTTGAATGGTTTAAAGGAAATACACCCTGAATTCGATCGTGAACTTCATAAGTTTGAAACTTGATCATGTGATTCATTGATTTGCAATTGTTGTTTTTCAATCTTTTTTGTAAAACACCCCGCACTTGACCAATATGTCTCTATACGTCTTCTATACAATTGATCAATCTTTTGCGAGATAGTAATGGATTTTATATTAAATATCTATTCAATAAACTTTTTGTGTGTGTTATTTTGTCATAGACTATGAATAAACTGATCTTTTTAGGGGCAACATCTTGTTTAAATAGAAAGTAATATAGACGTCTCATTGTTAACGTAATTGATTATACCATATCACAGCATGTCAGTGAAACAATGTTTATACAGAAATATGATCCGGGCTGACCGTGTTCAGCTATACGATTGAAGTCCTACGTACATGTAGACATATGTGACACACCGAGAGCTTCATACATGTACTCATAAAACTTAAATACCTCACGATAACTCAATTTTTTTCAAATATCAAACTGAAATTTAGTATAAAAGTGTGTTATAGTCATATGAATACCATATCTTCTATACAATATGACTGTAAATGAGTCATTATCAGAAATTGTCACATTTTTTGGAACCATGACCCCAGGTTCCTGAGGCCAACGCTCTACCACTGAGCTAAAGGGGCATGTCCTGTCAGCTGACTGACAGAACCACTATTTGTACATAGTACATATACTAACCAAATATTTCACACTACTTTTGCATTACGTGTAGTTCAAGTTACCTTTGTTACAAAATGAATTCTTTTTCATTTGGCAACATCGATAACAGCAGTTTTTACATAACTCAGGTGACCGTTCAGACCCATGGGCCTCTTGTCATGATATGTTGTTGTGTTTCATCGAAAAAAAAAATTGATTCGACAATTTTTGCAAAAGTTATTGCCCTTTGTTTATTTCAGTATTTGATTTTTGTCCGCCCATCTCCTCCTACATTTTTCGACCGATCTCTTCGAAACTTGGTATACATTATAATCATGATATGAAGTTGTGTTTCATGAAAAGAATTTTAATTAGATTATTTTTGCAAAAGTTATTGCCCTTTGTTCATTTCAGAATTAGATATTTTGTCCGGAGACCCTACTTTTTCGAAACTTGGAAATCGTTATAGCCATGATATATAGTTATGTTTCTTCGAAAAAAAAATTGATTCGATTTTTTTTGCAGAACAATTTCTTCAATGTCATGTTGTATAGCTGTTTACGCCGTGTTTAAACAGAGTTATTGCCCTCTACACTTCATTCCATCTGTGACGTCCCTTTAGGTGTCACCCCACTAGTTACAGTATGATTGACACATATACGCAACTTGATGATAACATGTGTGTTTATAATCTTATGCTACACCTTACTTATATTACACATATACGTGCATCTTATTGATAGTAACCATGTTATCACAACAGCTGTGACACTAGAGTTATATCAATATGATAAAGTGTAATGCATACCTTCTATATCGCTAACGTAACAGATATTAACCTAATCATTCTATTATCTCTTTCTTGAAACTTCCTTGTGCCGACATAGTGGACGAGAATAACACGTTTTTCATACCTTACCTCCGACATGACATCTGGAAGGAGTAAACGTGATATCCTAAAGTTTATCATCATTGGATGTTTTGCTGTTTTTCCTCATTTTGTTTATTCGTCATGTAAGTAATACTACATTAATATTCCACTACAATCAGATTAAAGTATAAGATATTTAAGTAAACTAGATTAGCATTGAATAAGAAAGACAAAATATCTAAAACTCCATAACTACGGCGTAACTCAAATCTGTATCTAGCTTCATATAGTAATAATAGGAAATGCAAGCCTGTAGCCGCTTTAAGATATATCATATTATCAGTAGACTTTAGTTTGTGTATGACTACAGAGAGCGTTGTGTGTGTTAGCCTTGGAATTTGACCCTTATACATACGAGTGATATTTTGTATGTTTGATTATGTGAGAAAAATTAAAATACACCGGATAAAATTAAGCAAAATATTCATCAATATTAAGGAAGCCCTTTGTACACAAGACTTTATATGGGCAATCTTCTAAAACTCTTCATATGACTTCCTCGTGTGATGTTGTGGTTTAAAAAATGAGAATGCTAGTTTGTGACTTTGTTTTGCTTCTTTCTATAATTATTATTATTTTGTTTTTACATATAGACCAATTCAATTTCAAGTTTACATGTATACTAAAAACTGGTATCATTAGTTTTTTTAAAATTTATTTTCTGGAATACTATTTTGCAATGTTTCAAAAATTAAGTATTTCAGATATGAAATTTGCACGAATTGAAAATATGATGAAAACGTTATTGGCAAGTGGTTCATATCATTTGTCATGAAAACGTTTTTTTATGAGTCAAAAAACCTTTGTAAAATTGAACATACGGATAGTGTTCCTCCTTCAAATACATTAAAAACGAAGAAAATCATAGAATAATATTTCTAAAGGAAATTGAGTTCTTGAAGTGTTTTCTAAATCCTTTCGGAACTGCTGAAATATCAATGTCGAAACTAAGCAACATATAACGCTAACTCGAAACTATCTTCTGACCTAGACATATCAGTGTGTTCCGCATCAATGATATGTAGAAACATGATTCAACTCAAAAGCACGTGTATTCAACCATAAAAGAGAAAAAGGTTCTCTCAACTGTTGAATTGAAATACGTATGTAAATTAAAAAGGTACTATGACCTTTTTCAGCGTCAATATTCATACATGATTATTTTGTTAATTAATGGTATAAAAACAAGAAGTGTATGGCCTTCTGTGTTAATTATCAAGAAACCTTTAATGAGAAAGGTAATTGTCATATAATACCCCAAATATATAGTGATGCATCCACAATTTGGTATTTCCCAATTCACAAAATGAAGCATTTAAATGTATCATGCTATATTTGTGCTTCAAAACACTTTGTACATTTCAGATAATACTCTCTAAACTGAAACAGATATTGTATGACACATTGAATTATGTATAAATATATAGCATGTAGTATAATGAACATGTCTGAACGTATTTTATATGTGCACTACACTTACTACAATTTCTATGAATAACATGTTGAATTCATCGTTTTTAATTTTCATTATCATTTAATACTAACTTCTGTTATTGCAAGGCAAAAAGGTGTTTCACGTCTGTAAGAAATAGAATACTGATAAGAAATTTAACTGTTGAACTAATTTTACATTTATGTCATCTACATTTACATTAGTTGACAAAGAGGACAAATTGAAATGCACAATTACAAAATAATGAAATATAGGTACATGTATACTGCATGCCTTACTTTCGTTTTGATAGATAATATTGCGTTAGGAAAGCCAGCATCACAAAGTACCGATTACCTGGGCTGGAGTGCTGACAAAGCAATAGATGGTGTGATAGGAAAGGACATGGAAACAAATGGAGGAGGAAGCTGTAGTTCTACTAACCCGACCGGATCACGTGAGGCATGGTGGATGGTTGACCTTCAACAAACGTCTAGGATAAAAACTATAAACATCACGTACAGACAGTTGTGTAAGTATCATTAACACAATATATTTTATAAGACATAAAAAAGTACATAATGAGTATAAGAAAATAACGCAAAATTATTTAAGCTAAAAGGGGAGATACAGTAAATAGGTGAAAAATGGCTATTTTTCAGGTGTGAAATTCAAGAACAATGAGTCCCGTAACGCATTTTATTGTTCTCCCTGGTTTATTTATGAACAAATAATTCATAACATCATGTTTTTTCCCAAAACATATTTTTTAAGACGAAAAGGGTTAGGGTTAGGGTTATGGTTACTATTTCGATCATTTTGATCAGGAGGCATAGTATGGAAAAAAATATATATCATAGAAACATGTGCGTGTCTAATTTTATTTCTTCCATATTTTACTAAGCCTTCTGTTGATCAATGACACTCGACATCGCAACGCCTTCATAATGAAAGGGAAGGACTTACAGATACAAAATATGACTTTCAAACAATTTTTGGTAGAATGTGATAGATGTAAAACAGGAAAATGTGACTTTTTTATCATAAGTATGATGTGAAATATGTTTTGAAACATCTGACACAAAATTTTAAATGTGAAGTATTAAACTTGAGTATCTATATTCTCGGTAGCGTCTAAAACATATTGTACGTGTTTCATCCTTCGTTAAATATTTCAGATCCCTATCGCCTTTCTGGATTCTATCTTTATGTTTCCTATACGACTGCTGAGGACAATCTACAAAACACGGGATATCTGTGTTACCATGACGACACAAAGGATCCGGAACTTCCGTCATTCAACCAATCTCGTTCTTGTCCTGTTGACGGCCGATACGTTATTTTCTACAACAGACGTCCTGCTGATAATGGACCTAAACATGTCCCATACAACTCGACAACAGATGCTGTTGTTGAATTGTGCGAGGTGCAGGTGTTTGGTAATTATATATATATATATATGTGCACATTAAACTTATTTATATATTTATCACTAAAACGATCACCAATTGCAACATAGTACTATGCCATTTGTTCCTACTCCTTCTTTCATTGCTATATTGATAAACATGTTGTTTATATATATTGAGAACCTTATCTATTTAAGTTCCAAAAAGTTTGATATAATCTGTTATTCATAAGTTATAATCATGGAGTGACAATATATTGAAATATCTATAGAAAGCATTTGAATATGATTATTTTACAATGAATTTAATGTATTCTCCTGCTAGGATGCCCGATAAATCGTTTCGGACTTACCTGCAGGAAAACATGTCATTGTGGCATGGGTGGATGTGATCCTGATACCGGACTGTGTGACGTCAGTTGGTGTCAGAGTGGATGGATGTTACCAACCTGCTCTGAAGGTAAAATGGATTTCGATTTACGATAGGAGCTGTACACACATAGGATGTAAATTTGGTTGGACAGAAAAAGCTTGCAATAATGGTACTCATTTACATTATGAATTTAAGATATAGAATAGAATAGTTTTTTCCTGTACGTTATTAAATGGTTATGTCTACTTTCAAAAGGTAATAGCGCAATAAAATATAAAATCATACCATAAAATATGAATTATTTTCAAAATTATATGTCTGTTCAAGGTATTTGAAAAAAATATTATTAAATAGAAACAATACAGTCGTTAGTGAGATTTGCAAATTGGTTCGAGCTCATGCGCGGACGTGAATATACAAGATTGGGTCGGAGTTAGTAGAAGGGGAGGAGGTTCTAGGGAGACAACTTGTCTTTAAATCCGTCTATTGTTCACAATGCCTTACTGCCTTTACTTTTCAAATCTATTGGAACATATTTGACACAAGGATGAATCCAAGGCCAATGTTACAGAAGATAGAAGAAAATTATTTTGATATAAGTCCTTATGTTCAGAGAAAACTACCCATTACATATTCTTAATAAAGCATACGTAAAACTGTCGTCGTTATATTCTAAATTAACATTTTAAAACTTGACATTAAAACATTAAGTCAGTAAAATTGTGTATTTGTAGATTTCTTTAAACTATTTATGAAAAAAAAACCAGTTCTTTTTGTTCACAAGAGATAACAGAACCCATAAATACAAGTTCTAATATCAAAACGCCAAAAATTTGGTAGCGAAAATTTGATCGTGTTTTTCTCCATCTAAGGGCAGAGTTAATCTCAATAACATATTTCTACAGATTTCGTAAATTTATCAAAGTGGTTTATATGATTTTGCTTAAAATTTTCGTTGTCTCACGCCAAATTTTTATATCTTTGTAAATATCCAAAAAGCAATATCTATTAACTTCTCATACTTGAATGAAAAGGTTTAAAATTGGTTTGCAATTAATTGTTTTTAATTGTCTGAGTCAATTTTAGTCTAATTTTTCGCTGACAATATCAACAGAAGAAACAAAAACAATTAAGGATTTTACTGTCATGGTAAAACGAATAAATTTTAAATACATTATTGGATATTGTTGGAACATTGTATTGTTTTGGTTTGGTTTGTTTGTGTTTTACGCTATGGTCATTTAAGGACGTGCCAGGTTTTAGTTGTGAGGAAAGCCGGAGTTCCCGGAGAAAAACCACTGCCCCACGTAGGCCTCGAACCCACGACCCTGTGGTGGCGGGCTAGTGGTAGCAGAGTGTCAGACGCCTTAACCACTTGGCCACCACGGCCCCTACATTGTATTGTAGTTGTTGAGATATGGTGGAAGTTTACATAGATTAATAGCTGTTCAACATAATGAAATGAATTGTTTTTCAAATCTTTTATTAATGCGTGATGACTTAACTTTGATAAACAAAATATTAAAAAAATCCGGATTCCCCAATTCAATCATATACAAAATTATATTTGCATCAAACATAACTTTGGATATATCCATTTGCACAACCCAATGTATGACATTTCTGTTTACTTTTTTGTCACCGGCTGTCTGGCATCTTTTCAGCCTGTCCCACTGGACACTTTGGAAGGGACTGTAAGGAGACATGTCATTGTGCTATTCCTGGATGTAACAGATTCAATGGAATATGTATCCGTGCCGGATGTGACGTAGGATGGGAAGGTCCGACTTGTGACAAATGTAATATAGTCTTTTGTTTGTGATATATAGTTGTCACCAGTCATTTCATATGATACATGTAACTGAATGTATTGTTTATGTAAAAACATGATATAGAGCATATTCCTGTGAATATCACCATTATAAATGATACCTATTTGCTTAAAATCATGCCGATAATTCACCTATATCGTCATACAAATTTGACACATTAAGGTAAGCCTGCTTAAGTCGATAATTCATGATATGAGGACATAATTATTACGGTAAATCGACTTTCCATGATACATAAAGAGGTATAATTGTCAAATAAACTGCTGACCCGATAGTTTAACATACACTGACACTGACACTGCAGAAAACAAGAAGAACAAATTGATGTCCGAATGATTTATAACAGATGTTTTACCCAATACTCAGATATTTAGAAGATAGCGACATTTTTGTTTGTTTTAAATGATAGCATGCGACGTTGGCAAATATGGCAAGGACTGTAAACACACGTGCAACTGCGCTTCTCCCGGATGTGACGTGATCACTGGTACTTGTACTGTGCCCGGATGTGAAGTTGCATGGGAAGGTTCGACATATGATTGTGATATAGGTAAATGATTAAATTAAACTCAATGTATATTTTTGGGAGGAGAATTTATATCAGTTGTGCGCTTCCTAATGCCTCTTATATATCTTTTGTCAAATAAGATGCTTTTTAAATCATATTTGTGTCCTTGTTTGAAGATAATTTTGTCATCTGTTTAAAATTTCAAATTAGAGTAATTGTTCAAATATAATATATATTATGATATTCTGGAACCGATTTACACTTCTCTACAACGTAATCGCTCATTTATGCTTTTTACTCAATCAGCTTGCAGCATCAGTTCATTTGGTAGTATCTGTACCGAACCCGAATGTGACCAATTCACCGGATTATGTAACGTATCGGGGTGTAATGTTAGATGGACAGGTTCGTCATGTGATCAAGGTATTCTTACAATTATTTTTAAGTTTTTCCTATTTGTATACGTTAACNTCTGTATACGTTAATTCAATATGAGCTTGATGCACTTGTATATGACGGTAAATATATGCAACTGATAACGTTCAGTATGTATTTTATGTACTAGGATATACTTCAGTAGACAAAACAAAAAAAATAAAATAGAAAGTCACAACCTGCACAATCTGACCCTGACACGCAAAATAAGATTAAGTTTTATTTACAGTTTTTATCTACCACGAATCATTCAATTGTACTTGACGTAAATGATAATATTTATTGATCAATACCGACGGATTCAATTTTGATACACATGTAATTGACATTTCTGTTTTATGTTATGATAATATGAGTTCAGATGTTTATTATGTCTTACTCGATACAAAGATATTTAGCACTTCTATTATACAATTTTTATCATTATTTCAAAGCTTCGACAAAATGTTTTCTAATTTGGGTACGCGAGTTTTACTACTAATCTTTCTTTGGGTTTTTTTCCTTTTAGATTCATTCATTTTATGTCTCAATCATCACTATGACGATTAGGACACTGGGAAATAAAATGAAATAGCAAATAACTTGTATGACGCCGTTACCAAATAATGTTGCTAATATCGGCAATTTTACAACATAAATTTACGATGAATCAGTAAATATATTCAATGCTTATATAAAACAATAACGAGTCAATAATGAACTGTTGTTTCTATTTGTATAGTAGCGGTTAAAACAAACAGTAAAGAAAACCTGATCAGTGGTGAGGTAAGTACAGATGAATTAGAATTTCTTCTAATGAAATAATTCAGAATAGTAAATATAAACCTTTTTTACGTTCATTTTTAATTCACGAAATATAACAGCTAATCTATATCTCATGGCAGAAGTCCACTGATTTTGTTAACCGGAATATTACAATTCCTTTCTCACAGAATACTTATTTGTTCAATTTTGTCTCAGAAATCAGGGTCCAATGCCTTGGTAGTTCCACTGCTTGCATCACTGCTGTTTATTTCCATCGGGTTCAACATAGGATTTATAATTGATCGTCTAAGGTATGACAACTTTGTACTAATGTTATCCAACTTATTCCATGTTCTTGCTATTATTGCGTTATTTCATATAATGTAAATGTACACACGCTATACTCTCTTCAATGTTATTTGCTCTTCTATATATAAACAGGTTCTTTTTTACAAATATATAACTTTGTTTGTACAAAATGAATATATTTTAAAGTTAACCAGGTAATGTTCAATTTATACGTTTATAAGTTAACTAGCTCTTGAAAAATTACATTTGTATAGTCAGTAAACATACATACATACTAATGATCACGTCTTTCATCCCAGACACATTTTTGAAAAAAATAAACCCACATGAGACAGCGCTTTACCTTTGGACTAGGAATTAAAGAAATCTCCGAACTGCTGCAAGATCACACAATGTCATTTACTTGAGATGCACAATACAGTTCATCATAAGTAAATGTATGTAATACCGTTAAGTGTTAATTTTAAGATATGTATACAATAACACAAATATCAGGAAGTGTGGTGAGCATCATCGGCTTCAAAATATATTGAAAGCTACATGTAATAAAGAAAGTGATATAGGTGACAACGTGCCATGGCAACATTCGAAAACATTCAGAAAAAAAGTGGAGAATAGCTTAAAAACACGGTGTTTTGAAATAGAGTTCAACGTATATGAAGAAACAAGGACAACATAGATGACTGTTGTAATATATTGGAATTCAGTGTCATGATATTTAATTTGTGTTTGTGATAATTGTCGAAATAAGATGAATATCAAATAATTACTTGTGTGTCGCATATGCAAACACTTGTTCGTTTGTTTGTTTGTTTGTTTGAATGATTTTACGTTCGCTTCACTACCTAGTAGTTCGGTAATCCAGCACACGAAAAATGGAAAAAATACAAAAAGTCTTTTTATCAAAAAACTTGTTATTAAATAGTTACTCTCATACTGACAAATACTCGTCAAAAACGTTATATCGAAATCATACAATGTTATAGACGATATGTAATCGCTAACTAGCATATATGTTTTTGGAGCGAGTGAATATACAGAGGATTTCTAGATTTTTGTTTAACATCATATATATGTTATGAGTATGACGTGAGTTATATGATGTTCTGATGGTTGAAAGATCAGACGAACTTTTTAATGCAAGTGAAAATCTATCCTTTCCATCGGAGTATTCAAACATGCTGTCTTTTCCAAAAAACGACGTGATTGATTTTCAAATGAAAGTTATCAGTTAAAATCTGTTTACATCATCACCTTGACTAAGCAAGTGTGATCATTAAAGAATATTGTTTCAAAATCCTTTATACTGGCTATACACCTTTTCACCTTGACCTTTTGTCGTCATCCTCTGTCATCAACTCAATAAGTTAACTAATATGACAAAGTCACAATATCTTCTTACATTTTTAAAAATCAAAATCGTAACTATAATCTATTTTTTTTAAACTGGAGTATAAGGAAACCAAATTTAAAGCAGATGGACAATCAATACTAATCATTTGTACAAAGATATGTAATGAAAACGTATATTTGCCAATTATTCCACACATGCTTCACTTTGTCATCCCGATATATGCAATGCAAAAACTGTGTTCATCATTTCACAGGAATTCACGACAGTTTCCTACTTTGAGATTCTGGGAATGCTTCCAAACGATTCCTCATTACGCCAGACTTATACCCAGCGAAAGCAGCCCAAGAGCGATATAACAAAATCCATTGCCGGACAAGAGTTATAATAGAGCAAACGTTTTGAATTCTAAAGAAACGGCTTAACTGTTTGCACTATGAATTAAGAGTGGAGCCAGTTAAAGCCTGAGAAATAGTTATTGCAGCTGTTGTTTTGCATAACATAGGCATTCTCAGGGGGATATTATTCATTCAGAGGATATGGTAGTGCAGGCAGAGGATGTCACAGAATGTTGGAGTAGGTACATGTAATTTTATTAATTCTTTTTTCAATTTCATGATTTCTAAGTCCAGCTTTGTTTCCTCTTCCTGAAGAACACCCTTTCTAATGTGATGATGCGTTTTCCAGCAGATGACTTTTGCTTGTCTTGAAATAAGATAAGATAAACATTGAACTTGTATAATGCTTTTAATATTTTCTCATGAAATTCAATTAATTTATTACTGGTTTGTTATCTGTAACGCACAATATATTAAGATTTTTATCAACAAGGACACATGGATAAAAACACTCAGCAATATATAGTGGTCTATGCTCAGTGTTGCTAGCAATCTATCATCATGTAATTTATTTAAGAAGCTTGCATCGTATACACTTTCATAGCATAAAAGGTTCGTGAAAGAAATGTCAGAACTTTTAGTTTTAACAAACCTCTGGCTTATAGGAGAAAAAGAATGCAAGATTCAGTTAGAACTTGTTGAAAATGTTAATCAAAATAATATCTCCGGCTGATTTATAACGTGAAACATTATTTAAAATATATCTATTACCGCATTACATTTGGCTAAATACTTACATGATGTCTGAGTTGCTGGTATGGTACAGGTGTCAAATGCCACTGGAAACATTCCTGTAAAGTGATATGTTATCCTTTTGCAAGAATTTCAACTGGTTTTGCTAGAAATAGGCTTCTTCAGGGGAATAAGACATTTTTATTCATATTCAATCAAAATCTGAACAAACTATCTGGAATTTAAATACATTCATCTAAAAAATATACCTTATAAAACCCAAAACAATCATGTTATTACTTAAATACAGTGTATAAACTAATCTGACTTGTCGCATGTTTTTGAGCATGAGGAGTCATCTGTTTTAAGAAAAACAAAAAACTTTCATTCAGTGGATCTATGATAAGGGCTTTTCACCAGATGGTAAAAAGGCATATTGTTTCTATAGTTTTTGTTGATTCTCAATCTTATATTCTTTCACGATATTGTGAATGTGTAGCATATGTGTTTATACTATAAGGCCATTCAAGTATGTTGTAGGTTATGGTCAGAATGTGTCATTATACCATTTTAAAGCTGTTAAAAATGTCAATCATGATAGTTAAGTTTATTTTTGAATACAGGATCTGTATGATACTCTACACTGACTCAAGCACGTTTCTTGATCAATATCAAGTGTTTCTCAATGAATTCTGATGTTGCTGATATCAGAAATGTGGATAAGGTTTTTCAGAATGCCCCCTGATACCATGTCTCTTAGAAAGGTTCTATCTGATGATCTAAAAATTACCATAACCGAAGTTCTGTACAAGTGTTTATTTTTATCATTGTTTTAATGGCTGTGTTTAGTAATGAAAAAGGTTGGAAAGCTGGCATTACCATCTGGGGTTTTGTTCTACATACCTTCCATACATGTAGTGTCAATCACAACAGCATCAGCTGTTTCGTCTTATGGTAGCACTGTAATGGAACAAGGCATTGTTGTTTGGGTTTTTTGATGTTTTTTATCGCATTACAAATGTTTTTGTTTCAGTTTCAATGCAATATGTTTTTTGGAAATAAAAAAAAATTAAAAAATCCTATATTTTCTATTTCTTTAGTTTTGATAATCTTAAAGGTTAGGAATATATATATCATCTTAACATGGAAAGACGTGCATTAACAATTTTCTAACTGTTTTCTTTTACAAGAAAGAGAAAAGTATTATAATTTTTTAAACAAATTAACTTACCAGTTACATCAAATGAACTGGCAGCTTCTCAATATTGAAAATCTGTAATTCATATTTTGTTCCATTTTTGTATCTTGTATATCAAAAGGGCGATTTTGTACAACCTTTGAATATGGCATGAACGAAAAACCCATTTTGTTATCATATGTGCACGATTTTTCTGTATACAAAATTATCATGCCGCATGTAATAACCATTATCAAAAATATCAAATACTAATTAATTTTTGAAAACATCTTTCAAAATAAATATAATTTAATACAAAAGAATCAATCTATACAAATGAAAACATCGTTTTGCTGATAATTTATCTTGTCGGGAACTGATTGCCCTATATCAGAAATGTGAAAAAAGGGCCTAGTGAGCTTATGCCTTTATGAGGCACAGGTCGTCTCTCTCTGCCCATCAATATTTTACATCAAATTCTTCTGATGCGGTGGTCGTACAGGGTCCCTTTTCCCCTTCTCCCTTTCCTTGATGCTTCGCTTCATCATACTTTGATTTTGCTGCAACATAGCAAATAAGGATTCACTTTTATGTTAATTCAATGGAAAAACTATGCTGTACTATATTTGTCAAGCTAATTTCAATAAGTTATTAGATATGTGTCTATGAAACTCAAGAAAAAGCATTTTCACTCATAATGATAAAACTGGAATGCCGCCAGTCTCTCAAAAAAACCTGAATATTCTTTATTTCCTTATTATTTTACTTTTGCATATAATACTGTAAACATGGTTATTTACGCTGGGTGAAAATAACGCTATTTGAAGATCAAAACTATACGCGCGGTGGTAATTTACGCGGTAGGGATAGACCGACGTTTACTCTGCAGAGTTATCTCCCTTACTTTACAAAATGTGTACAGGTAAACATACTAGTAGCTACTGAGTACATGTTACGATTGCGTACCGACTGCTCATCGGACAGATGAAAATGAAAGTGAGCTGTATTCATGTGTATGTGTGTGTCTTATACCAGCTGATCTCGTANTTCCAAATATTGATAAAGAAGTTAGAAAAACTCAAATTAATTGCGTGTAATATTGTGGAATATTTAACAACAAATACAAATGATGAAATACAAAAAAATAAGGACGGGATTAGAATATTATCGAATGTTGGGTTGTATATACAAAGAAACTTTTCGTATATCTATTATTTCATCTAAAAATGGAATGTGCCTCGTGTCTGCATCACTGCCGATACAGCAACGTGGCTGGCCAAGATAATTCAATTATTTAAATGATGTCGTTTCTATGAGCGTGCAATTATTTGTTACATAACAATTTTCATTTCTTCTACAATCCACACGCTTAACGTGCTAATCTG